AAGAAACTCTACCCGGTGTTGAGAAAGGAAATAGGGAAGCCCTTGATGAGGTTACTACCACTGATGTGACTGTTACCGATAATAGGACAATTCCCGATGGAGCAGATGAATCCCACGTTAAGAAGAAGCCAACGAGATGGAGACCAATACGGAAGAAGATACGTCCTGTAAAATTAAGAGACTTTGTTGAATTATAATTTTGTGTTTTTTAATTCTGTACATTTAATTAAGTTATTGTTAATTTTCTATTGGTTTAGTGTAAGTGGCTATTGTTTGGGACGAACAATACTAGGGAATGGGCAATGTTACGACAGCGGAAGTCACGTGACCCTGGTAACACGTAATGAGTTCTAGAAAGATCGGGGAACATCATGAATAATCCAGTATTTGCTACGAGCCATCTATTCTTGTATATTAGTGCGCCAGGCAATTAATTGGAACGAGAATGGCAGACAGGCAGAGACAGAGAATGACAAGTGAGCCTAGCGTGGTAGTAAGTAAAGTGCGTGAATCGTTCGTTGTGAATTATAGCGTGTACTTACGTTAAAGTAACTGTGGAAATTAAGTGTATTGCAAAGTTGTATTGAATAAGAATAAACTAGTTTTACTTAAAAAAGGACTTGTATCGCTGAAGTTTCTCGATAAGAATTTTTACGAGAAATTAACAAACGAACAGAGACGTATCAACAGTTTGTGTAAAGTAGTCCTCATGTAATGATGGAATGAAAGCCATTTCTGGTAAGTAAAGGACTATACTTCTCTGCCATACAACCAATGGTGGAATGTAAGCAATTTGTGGTAATTAGAAAACTATACATCTAAACCAAACCAACAGTGATAAATTAGAGCAATTTGTGGTAAGTAAAGGATTATACGTCTAAACCTAAAAAAAAAAACAATGGTGGAATGAAAGCAGTGTGTTATAATTAAAGGACTATAGATCTAAACCAAACAACCAGAGATGGAATGTAAGGAATATTTGGTTATTAAAGGAACATACAACTAAACCAAACAAACAATGGTGGAATGGAAGCAATTTGTCATAAGTGAAGTACTGTACATTTAAACCAAACCTACAGTGATAAATTAGTGGTAAGTAAAGGTTTATACGTCTAAACCAAACAAAAAATGGTGGAATGAAAACAGTATGTAATAATTAAAAGACTATATTTCTAATCCAAACAAACAATGATGTAATGCAAGCAATTTGTGTTAAGTGAAGGACTATAGATCTAAACCAAACAACCAGAGATGGAATGTAAGGAATTTTTGGTTATTAAAGGAACATACATCTGAACCAAACAAACAATGGTGGAATGTAAGCAATTTGTGGTACATAAAGGACTATACATATAAACCAGACAAACAATGATGTAATGTAAGCAGTTTGTAATGATTAAAGGACTATACATGTAAACCAAACAAACAGTGATGGGATGTAAGCAATATGTGGTAAGTAAAGGACTATACATGTAAACCAAACAAACAGTGGTTGAAAGTAAGCATTTTGTGGTTAATATAGGACTATGCATTTAAACCAACCAAACAATGATGGAATGTAAGCAATTTGTGGTACATAAAGGACTATACATATAAACCAGACAAACAATGGTGTAATGCAAGCAGTTTGTAATGATTAAAGGACTATACATGTAAACCAAACAAACAGTGATGGGATGTAAGCAATATGTGGTAAGTAAAGGACTATACATCTAAACCAACTAAACAATGGTGTAAGTAAACAGTTTGTAATGATTAAGTGACTATACATGTAAACCAAACAAACAATGGTGGAATGTAAGCAATTTGTGGTAAGTAAAGGACTATACATGTAAACCAAACAAACAGTGGTGTAATGTAAGCAATTTGTGGTAAGTAAATGACTATACATCTAAACCAAACAACCAGAGGTGGAATAAAAGTAACTTGTGGTAATTAAAGGACTATACATCTAAACGAAACAAGCAGAGGTGGAATAAAAGTAACTTCTGGTAATTAAAGAACTTTTCATCTAAACCAAACAACCAGAGTGGAATAAAAGTAACTTGTGGTAAGTAAAGGACTATACATCTAAACCAACTAAACAATGGTGGAATGTAAGCAATTTGTTGTACATAAAGGACTATACATATAAACCAGACAAACAATGGTGTAATGTAAGCAGTTTGTAATGATTAAAGGACTATACATCTAAACCAAACAAACAGTGATGGAATGTAAGCAGTTTGTAATGATTAAATGACTATACATCTAAACCAAACAAACAATGGTGGAATATATAAGCAGTTTGTAATGATTAAAGGACTATACATCTAAACCAAACAACCAGAACTGGAACAAAAGTAACCTGTGATAATTAAAGGACTATACATCTAAATCAAACAACTAGAGGTGGAATAAAAGTAACTTGTGGTAATTAAAGGACTATTCACCAAAACCAAACAACCAGAGGTGGAATAAAAGTAACCTGTGATAATTAAAGGACTATACATCTAAAACAAACAACCAGAGGTGGAATAAAAGTAACTTGTGGTAATTAAAGGACTATTCACCTAAACCAAACAACCAGGGGTGGAATAAAAGTAGCCTGTGGTAATTAAAGGACTATACATCTAAACCAATCAACCAGAGGTGGAATAAAAGTAACCTGTGGTAATTAAAGGACTATACATTTAAACCAAACAACCAGAGGTGGAATAAAAGTAACTTATGGTAATTAAAGGACTATACATCTAAACCAAACTTACAGTAGTGGAATGTAAGCAATTTGTCATAAGTAAAGGACTATACATCTAATCCAAACAAACAATAGTGGAATGAAAACAGTAAGAGTAAGTAAAGTATTGTACATCAAAACCAAACAAACTGATTACATTCCACCACTAAATAAGGCCTTATTTATTTGTTTGATTCGTTCTACCAAGCAGCGCCGATGAGTCGAAAATTCGACGAAACTGGTCTGTTGCAGAAGTGAGTAAAGAATCAAAAAATGTGTAACTTTTCAGGCTATTAACGTGAGTGCTTATATTTGTATTAAGTAATTTATTTGGGCTGTCACCATGGTGTTTTTTAATGCACAAGCTTTCGGCTCAATTACGTATGCCTTCTTCAGGTCCAGAATATGTTATTTAATAGAAATCAAAGAATATATATTAGGCCTCTAAGGCATCTTTTCTTCACTGAAATTCTAGTTTTGATAAATTAAAGAAATTAGGAAATGAACAAACTGAGTCACTAAGGGTGAGTCTTGTTAGGGAACTGGGAGCTCTTTCTTTGTTTTGTAGATTTACTGGCTTTCAATATATTTGGAGTTCCGTTCATGGGCGCTGATATTTGTGGGTTTTTCGAGAATGTAACTGAGGACTTGTGTATTCGATGGATAGAAGTAGGAGCATTCTACCCCTTTTGTCGAAACCATAATGATGAGGAGAGCAAGGTTAGTTTACAAATAATTTTAGTGTTCTCTTGCTTGATCCTAACTTATTATAGCGTAAATCGTATATTACCTTACCTTAATTGTACTTCAAGGCCATTTTTAAAGCTACTTTAACAAGTGGATCGTATGTTTACTTATTTTGAAAATTAGAACTTGCTGAGAAAGTTATTCTGTCCATCTTTCAGGATCAAGATCCGGTAATTCTGGGGGAGAAAGTAGTGGAAGTCTATAAATCCCTTCTAAACATCCGTTATTTTCTCTTGCCTTATCTGTACACTTTGTTCTACAACAGCCACACCAGGGGGCAGCCAGTTATTCGACCCTTGCTTTTCGAGTGAGTATCATCTATTACTTCCCGGTGTGCGAGTCAGCTATTGTAAGTGAGAACACAATAATTTCACCTAAAGTGAAGTGGTCAGTCTTAACGTCAAATTTCTCAGTTAATGTACACTGATTATCAAAGTACTTAAAAAATAGGGCATGTTTAGAGCTTGCATATATTTACTTGAGGCAGTGTTTCTTAAAAGGTAAATAAGTCTGTTTGTTTGTTTGTAATTAAGCACAAAGCCACACAATGGGCTATCTGTGCTCTGCCTACAACGGGTATCGAAACCCGGATTCTAGCGTTGTAAGTCCGCAGACATACCACTGTGCCACTGGGGGGCGGTAAATAAGTAACCAATATTTTTGTCACTTATTGGATCTGTTATGACAGCGGAAGTCACGTGAACTGGTAACACGTGATGAGTTTCTAGAAGGATCATGACTCTTCCTGGCAACTCTAGTCTTTTCTACGCGCCCTCTATTTTAGCATATAAACCGGCAACTAAAGCGGAGGGAAAATTCCAGACAGGGAGATATAGAGACAGATAATCGAGTCAACTGAGCTGTAGTGACCGTAAGTAAAGTGCCTGACTCGTTGTGAATTAAAGCGTGTGGTTAGGTTAAAGTGACTGTGGAAATTCGTGTATTATAAAGTTGTATCGAGAAATAATAAACTAGTTTTAATTAAGAAAGGAATTGTATCGCTAAAGTTTCATCGGGAAAAAATTATACGGGAAATTAACAAACGAACAGCGACGTAACAGATCTACAGATTCCTGCCGTGAAACAGACCGTTCCTAGTTCCAATCTTAACTCAACTCTAATTAAATATAATTAACCTATGAATATAAATTTATTACAACTGTAACCTAGTCGGTCTCTGCAAATGAATCAAAACAACGTGTAGAATTGGATCTTAACAATATTGCTACTGCCTTGGTTTCTTCTTCATTGTTTTCCGTCTTCTTTGCTAATCGAGCCACATCATTTACAAACTTCCTTCTAATCTCTCTCTGACCTTCAACAAATTTCCTGTTTCCCTGTCTCATACACCACACGTTTACTGAGAAGTAGTTTATTTGTTAGTGGGTGTTAAAGTTTCTCAGTAAACATGTGGTGTGTGAGACAAAGAATCTTTAACACCCACCAACAAATAAACTACTTCTCAGTAAACATGTGGTGTGTGAGACCAAGAAACTTTAACACCCGCCAAAAAATAAACTACTTCTCAGTAAACATGTGGTGTGTGAGACAAAGAAATTTTAACACCCACCAAAAATAAACTACTTTTCAGTAAACATATGATGTGTGAGACAACTAAGTAGCTTATTTGTTGTTAAAATTTCTTTGTCTCACACACCACATGTTTACTGAGAAGTAGGTTATTTGTCGGTGGTTGTTAAAGTTTCTTTGTCTCATACACCACATGTTTACTGATAAGTAGGTTATTTGTTGGTGGGTGTTAAAGTTGCTTTGTCTGACACACTACATGTTTACTGAGAAGTAGTTTATTTGTTGGTAGGTATTCTAAACTGAAAGTATCTTTCTAAAGTAAACTTTGCTAAACAAACATTCTCGTATATCAAAATAAAATCGATTATTAAAAGCCTCAAATAAGATTTTAAAGGTTTAGTGCTTTGGAATAGGTACTAATGTTGGATCCAGTCGAAACACTCTCTTTGTTCTACATTGACATAGTAGTGTATATTAACTCATTTCCTGGCGTTTTCAACCCTCCTTTCTGCAGCTACACTTATTTTCACATAATTCTGATATTTCTACTTGAGTATTGTATGTGAATTTATATACTCTCCTGATCAATTGGAACGACGTTGTTGTTAGGTTATCGTATGTAAACAATGGAAACACTGGGGAAAATAGTTACCGAAATGGCTCTCTACGTAATGTGACGAAAATAGTTACCGAAATGGCTCTTTACGTAATGTGACGACAATAGTTACCGAAATGGCACTCTACATAATGTGACGAAAATAGTTACCGAAATGGCTCTATGTAATGTGACGGTTTACAGTTGAACTCCCCCTAACCACCACCTTTCCTGTGTTCGGTCTCATGTGATTGGACGAATTTCAATATGCACATCCAAGTCAACCAATCATATTTGATATCTACTTTTTAAATCATCGTTACTTAAATCAGGCACTAAGTAGTTTTCGTCTTACATTTATCGTAAATTAGCCATGAGTGACGATATAACTGTACTGAGTCACGAGATAAACTACGGAATGAATGAACCAGTTCCAGTTTCATTTCCTCACATTCTGGTAACCCAAGTTTCCGGTTTGAACACCTCCCCCCCCCCCGTCCTTAGTGACTCAGCGGTAAGTCTGAAGGCTTATCACGCTAAAACCCAGGTTTCGATACCCGTGTTGGGCACAATAGAAATGTAGTTTTGTTCACATCCAACTTAACTTGTTATGGGATTTACACAAAATTCCTTTTGCATAAAATTTTCTAACTGTGTTTTGCTTTAAGTTATAAGATTGGTGTCATTAATTTGCGTTGTTTTTTTTTGTTTTTTTTTTTACTTGATATTTTAATAGTTTCCCAACAGATGAGGAAACATTACACGAAGACCGACAGTTCCTGTGGGGAAAGGCTCTAATGATTATTCCTGTGTTGGAAAAGGTTTGTGTTTATGTTCATGAAAACGTAATACAATATTTATTGATGGTGGTGTTCCCATGGAAACTATACTTTGTGTATCTAGATGTTATTTTCTAGTACACCGACTGACCATTTAATGTTGGACCTCCCGTCTCCATAGTAAGAGCCTGGACTTATTGGAAAGTGGCTTGCTCAGTTATAATACAGATGGTTCACAGATATGGGTAAACCATGCTTTCTTTGGAAGTAGTATTCCGATAATACATTACAACTCTGTGTTATCAGTAAACAATACTGAGTTACCAGTAAACAATTCTGTGTTATCAGTAAACAATTTTGTGTTATCATTAAAAAAATACCTCGAACTCTACTCACCATTATATTTCTATACTTCTTTTAAAGACTCCAAGAACGTTGTAAAATCAACTTTAATCGTACAGAAATCTTATTTAGTTTATGTTTTATCTCTTGAAATCCAGTTTAACTCATCATTCTTTTTCATATTAAATAACGATTTATTTTTATTGTAATTAAAATATCAAACATTAACATTTTTGAACAGAACGCGGACGTAGTGGAAGTCTACTTTCCTCGTGCTACATGGTATGATTATTACACAGGCATGAAAGTCGTGACGACAGGTCAGAAATATTTATTAGATGCTCCTCTTGGAAAAATTAATCTAGCTCTCAGAGGTGGAAACATCATCCCAGCTCAAGAAGCAGCACAAACCACAACAGTCAGGTAAAATAAACCAACATCATTTGGGGTTGTGGAAAACAAACGAAAGATGAAAATGTAAGATAAGAATTTTCTTATTTTAATAAAATCTGTTCAAAATAAAATACTACTCATTTCACCATGAACTACGATAATGGTTCACGGTAGGGTTCGCCCAGGAAGTTCACAAAAATTATAACAGAACATATGAGCAAAAACCAGACTTGTTCTTGAAACAACACTCAACCTTCTATCTTAATGAAAAAAACCTGCTAAATTGTTGATAATGGCAAAAAAGTTGATTTTCCTATTATTATACAAAATTCGAATTTATCCATTTGTTCTGCATATTATCATTATTTATAATATTCCTGTTTCACAAGTCTATAGGAAAAACGGCTATGAATATTTTATTCAAACCTGGGCAAACCTACTAAAAAAAGCTCCTGCCCAGGTCATAAGATTATTTTTTTTTATTCTTGAAAGAGAAGGAGATATTTATCAGTTTTTTCATCGCTGCTGGCCAAGTTTCTCTTCTGTGACATTCAAGCACCGAAGCCTACAGCAAAAACGTCTATGTATACTGTGACAAAATATATTCATACCTACCAAATAAACTCTTGCAAAGGTTGTAGGGCTATTTCTAACTTGAATCTTGAAAGTTGAGACTTCCACCCTCTAAGATTTCCTAAGTTCTTCTTTGCTACCAACATAAGCTCTTTGAAGCCATTCAAACATCGCAGAAACGCAAAAACCATCGAAGCACCGTTATACTCGTCAGAAATGCTCCATTTTATACTAGTCGAAAATGTTTCATTTTATTAGAGTAAATAACAGTGTCTCCAGCCTTATTATGATTGATTATAGTTTTACAAGCCGCTACAGAAAAAATGACAATAAATATGTTATTGAAACCTAGACAATAGTCAGGAATGCAGTATTGAGTACGTCATAGGATAGTTTTAAAATTAATGAATACCGTATTGAGTACGTCATAGGGTTGTTTTAAAATTAATGAATGCAATATTGAATATATCATAGGGTAGTTTTAAAATGAATGAATGCAGTATTGAGTATATCATAGGATAGTTTTAAAATTAATGAATCCAGTATTGAGTATATCATAGGGTAGTTTTAAAATTAGTTAATGCAGTATTGAATATATCATACGGTAGTTTTAAAATTAATAAATGCAGTATTGAGTATATTATAGGGTAGTTTTAAAATTAGTTAATGCAGTATTGAGTATATCATAGGGTAGTTTTAAAATTAATTAATGCAGTATTGAGTATATCATAGAGTAGTTTTAAAATTAATTCAAGCGTCTTCGTTTTTAAGCCCCGAATAATTTCTCAAAGACCTTTACTTTCCAACATTGAAATATCTGGTGTTTTACTAATGTGCATTAATTGGAAAATAATTTGTTCAACTTGTAGCACATTAATTGGAAACTGTCACGTTGAGGATTCATCATTTCTCGAGTTCGCAGTTGTATCTTGTCTCTACGTGATTTTCTGCCACTATTTCAGTGACTTTTCTAACAGTAGTAGATTTCTCTTCTCTTATGACGGTGATTTATTCTACTGATTTCGTACTTCACTGAAATTGTGAGTGTGTATTTTATGATTATTATTCATATTGTTACGTATCT